TTTGCTGGAAAAGAGAGAAACCAACAAGCAGTTTGGAAGATTCTCAGATCATTCAGAAGACAATATTTTGATCTCTAGATACCATTTTTCCCTTTTTGGGCATCAATATCAGCATTGTTATCTAAATAACATCATCCCACAATAGAGCATGGAGGTGTCAGCATCATCACGAAGGGATGTTTGTCACTAGGTTTAAGATTAAAGTAATGCTGATTGCTTTTAAATACAGGCACATTCTTGGAGAAGACATGGACTGAACAGGAACAGAGGTTCACTTTTTAGTAAACTACCCAGGAGACATGTGTGGAGACATTAATTATCCTTAAGAGCCAATTACCAGTAGGTTCTCAGCTGGCAGTGTAAATAACATGAATACAACACACATAAACCGTAACACACTAGCATTTAAAAGGCTGATATAGTTGGAATAAAAGTTTTCTTGAATTGATTTGTTCCACACCATGGCAGAGTGTAGCTTCACTGTAATGGAAGCATTTTGAATTCATTTCTGAATCAACGACAAAAATCACCAAAGATGGATCTGGATTATTTCACAGATCTAGTCCTCACAGCTCTTGAAGTGACGTTCCAGCATTTGTGCCTCATGTATTTGTAATTCTTTGCAGGCTATTAGCTGTGGATGAGTGGTTAGAGGAGTTGTCCTCCAGTGGGAGAGTTGGAGGTTTGATTCCACCAGTAGTCACATGCTGAAGTGTCCCTGGGCAAGGCGCTGAACCCGTCGTTGCCTCCAGTGTGTGTCCAATCGGTGTATGAATGTGATAAAGCTCTGATTATTCTTTGTATAAATAGAGTGCTGTATGAATGGGTAAATGAGGGCACAGATTGGAGTGTAAAGTGCTTTAAGTATCTTAATAAGATACTGTAGAAAGGTGCTATATAAGAACAGTCCATCTTCCATTTATTTGGCCAGTGTTTACATATTAAAAAAAACAATGTTTGAAAATGCAAAATGTTCTTCAGGGGATACTTTTAATTTCTTGTAATGGAAATTGAAAGTCCTTAACTTTATTTTGACTGAAAATCTGCAGTGACTTGACTTGAGGTGACAGTGGGGTTTTTTTTTGTTTGTTTTTTGTTTTTTTGTAAAAAGGTCAAAAATTCAAGGATTCAATGATTTGAGGTTCTTTATTTGTCATTCGCACCACATGTGGTATTTGTACATGTGGTGGAACGAAATTGTGTACACAGGGTCCCAGTTACATCCAGCAAAAGTATTAAAATGTAAAAGAAAAACATGCCGAACAGCAGCACGAGCATGAGTCTGTGTGAGCAGATGAGCAAGAATGAACACAGCAACATGAAACAGATCAGCAGCAACATGAAACAGATCAGCAGCAACATGATGTGATTTTTCACAGTGATTATCCTGGTAAGATATTCATGAGTCTAACAGCCTCAGGGTAGAAGCTGTTCCTCAGTCTAGTGGTTCTACACTTAATGCTCCTCAACCTCCTTCCTGAGGGGAGCGGGGCAAAAAGTGTGTGTGCTGGGTGAGTGGGGTCCTTCATGATGCAGGTGGCCCTCTTCCTGCATCTGGAGGTGTAGAAGTCTGTGATGGTGGTGAGTTGCTAAATGTGTTATTATGATGCTACCATCCACACATCTTGTTTATGTGGTTTTATTGCTAGAAAACAGTAATTAATCTGATAAAAGTGGAGTGCAGGTGTGTTTCTGGCTGTGAAAATGTTGACACATTTGTTTCAGTGTCTCTGTGGGGATCTTTTGTCTGACGCCACAGGTACTGTGTGTTGCTAAATGATCATTATCTGACAAAACAACACCTGCAAACATCAGCCGCTCTGTGGTAAAGGCAGGGAAATGAACAGTGAGATTAGAAATGTTCACATCTGATCAAGAACCTCACGTCAGGAGTTAGAGTCAAAGAGGCTTGTTTTGATCTGGTTATGCAAAACCTAGTAATCATAATAAAAGAACATGACAGTTTAGTTGAAGCGTTATCATAATAAATTTACAGGTCTGATATTTTTAAAGACAGGTGTGTTATTCACCACCTTTCATGCCAGAGTTTTGAACCAAAATCATTTTCTGATGCAAAGTGACCAATTTATATTCATTCTGTTTAAACCCTGAAATGGCATTATCTCTGAGCTCATGTAACATGGCACTATAATGGATGATCTGTTAGCAACTGAAGTCATTTTGTGTTGACTAAGGCTGATTAGCTGTGGTGGCCATATTGGTTTATGTTGACTCCATAAGATAATTAATTGTAGATCTACATCTAAAGAAGAGTTCCTAAAAGTTTTAATAAAATTCAGCCAGTGGTTAGTAAGCTAGTTTGCTAATTGTCTGTAAAAGTTATTGGTAAAGTTTTAAAAACAGATCTCAGGAATCAGTTAGAGCGGAGAGAATGTGTTGGGGACATTTCTCAGCTACCGCTACATCAAATCTTAGTGTGATATCTGCAGAATTGACTGAGTTTAAGCCATTTTTGTGTTTGCTAAAGGCTCACAAATGCAAGTAAGCTTGCTTGATTTGTCAGTTTTAATCTTTAGTTCCTCGATTTTTTTTTCCTCATATAATGTCATAAACGTTTAACAAAGCTAAAACAGTCACACACACATTCAACCCCCCCCCCCCCCACACACACACACACAATTACACACACACACACACACACACACACACACACACACACACGCACACACACACACACACACACACACACACACACACACACACACACACACACACACACACACGCACACACACACACACACACACACGGTCAGTCACATCCTGTCTGCTTCAATATATATTTGGCTGGTGCAACAAGACAGCTCACACTCCCCTCACAGGAAAAAAAGGAAAACTGACTGCAGTCAATTAAATATATTTTCAAAAACCACAGAAATAACCAAGTGTGGTGGAAGTCCAAACCGTCCACGCCAGCTGACTGTCAGCTCAGATATGATGCCTGTTCACAAAGACTGAAAGAGACGGAGAAGAGGCAGAGAGCAAGGAAAAACTTATTTAAGTCCCTGATCAAAAATAGAATATAAAATCAGCTGAAGTCATTTGAAAAATATTTAGAGGCAAGTTTTCCTTTCTCTCTTTGCACATCCCCTTCAAATCAAAATATAAATACCTGCAACATAAAAAGGTCTACACATGTCTGCACTTTAAAGCAAAAAGAAATAAAATAATAATAATAATGTCAGATATTGTTGGTATTTACAAAAATGTCTAATCCAACTATTCTTTCTAAGAGTGACCCCCGTAGCTCTCTGAAGCTCATCTGTATGAACAAGTCCTGGTTAATTTTAGCTGTAAACTATGAGCTGACCCTGAACTGCAGAACAGATGTTAAGGGGGAAGAAACGTGGTTTATAATTGAGCTGCACAGAAGTTTAGTGAGGTCAAAGGTCAGGTTCTGAATAATTGCTGACAGAGACAAGAAGCTCAACAAAGAACTGCAGCAGGTTTGGTACCGGTGGCAAGATGGGAGGTCAGACACTAACTCCTGTTGTAGCTGTAGATAGCTTGTTGAACAACCTTAGTTTGGAAAAACTGTTTAATTCTGACCATACTGACGAGCTAACGCTATTGTACCCCACCATTTCTGATGTTCTTTGCCGTTCTAAAACAACTTCAGTCTTTACCACTTCAAGTTCAAGTGGATGCTTTTTTAGCTAACATTTTATTGGTGTCAGTTTTGATTTAGCAGTTGTTTTAACAGAAATATTGTGAAATTCCTGATGGATGTGTCCAAAGCTACACCATAAGTGCTAAAGCTAGCTGCTGGTGCAACTACCTGCACTGTCTGTGGGTCCTCCCCCAGAAAATTTTGAATAAAGTAGAAGCAATTTCCCGCATTTTGGTGTATCTTAATGGGTTGTTAAACATCTACGGTTACCTACCATACATTTGTAAACAGTCCACTTCTGTCAAGCATCCTTCACCCCCCCTTACTTGACGGAACCGTCAAATAAGTTGAGCTTGGAACTGAAACTCTGTCCCTGCTCGTTGTTGTCAGAATCCACATGTGAAACCTCCAGGTACCTGCCTGTGGGCTCCTGCACGCATATGACTGCCTGGTTAGCTCAGCACTCACTCTTTTAGGAGCGGAGATTTTTTTAAGGGTAGATGCAGAAATGCTACTTGAAGAGGCAGCTCGTAAGTGGCTGTTGTGTTTAAAATGAGTGTTTAGGTAATTACTTGTATTTTCAGTTTACATATCCAATATATGTTTTATTCATTCAAGGCAGTCATATTTGTTCATATCTTTATTAGTAAGCTTGAGAGTTACCAGATCCAAGCAAACAGTTACTGGAACGCACCCTGTCAAAATAAGAGAGTTCACGGATCCTGTTCTGGCAGGATCCAGCTCAAATTAGGCACTGGTCTTTAACAAGTTGTTACCTCATCATT